GGCGGAAACAAGGGGCTCTGGGACCCTAAAGGTGTGAAGGATGCTCTCAGAATTGTGCCATCTCAGCCTCCTGCACACAAAGGTAAATGAAGAATGGCTAATGCATTTTTGCTGGCATCTCTTTGTCAATATTATGGATTTTAATGTTTGAAGAAAATAAATGTTACAATATCTTAGTGACCCAAATCAACCAAACACATGTCAAATAAGGGCCATTTTGATATTGACAGTAAAATGATTAAGATCACAAAAAATCAAAACACATAAAAATTTCCAAAGCCAATGATGCAGAGAATTTCTGAAGTAATGGACTAAGCACAACTGTAACAAGGTATCTAGGCAGGTAATTTGGCTACAAGTTCCTTGGAACTGCCTATATTTTGTCTTTGGTCTCAAAACTCACATTTGCAATCACAGGTATTCTAAGAAGGTGACCCTAGCTTTTTTTGCTAAATGAGTGAAATATGTATTCTAGAAAGAAATTAGAATACAAATAAGAATAAAAATAGAGAGGAAAATAACTGCATGGAATTAAGTCTTTGCTAAACTATTTTGCGTGTGTAGGCATTGATCTGTTTTATATTCATTGTAATAATGTGTCCCTTTTTATGTGCTGAAGGGTTGAAAAGACTTATACCCATGAAATCTTTGGAAGATTCTGATTAATTTTTGATATCAATCATTTGTTTAAATGTTCATGTTCAGAGGAGTCAAATTTGTTAAATTTATAGCTTTATATTTAATATTTGATAATTCAGTTTTTTATTTAGTAGTTCAGTTTATGGAAATAGTACGTAAAATAGAGCAGTGTTGTTCAAAAAATAATCGATAGACAATAAAAAAGTACAAATAGTGATGAGAGTATATTCCTTTCCACATATAAGAGCCACTGAGATATAGGAGAATTTTCAGCATTGAACAGATTGGCCAGTTGAGGAGCCAATTAATTTCTTCTATAGAGAAAAGGGTGTTATTTATTGAATAAAGAATATAGTACACTTTTTATTTATCAAGAGATTTCTTTCTCTCTTGACAAATTTTTATTGCTGGGATTACTCTGCAGATTCTGCCTTGTCTATACTTTTGATATAGCTCACTGCTGAATTTGTAATTCTTTTCTTTTTGCAAAAGGGCATTATTACTTATTACCTGTGAGCATTTTTCAATTCCATAAGAGAATAAATGAGCTGCATGGTCCCTGGAATCTTGTAAAGGCATTTGGCCTGGAAGATGCTCCTTGGCTGTGTGCCAATAACAATGGATTATAGGGACAACTTTCAGTTAGTCCAAAATGAGCAACTTGAACCTTTACTGTTTAATTTCTGCTCAATTATTCAAAATTGGCTCAATTTTAGTCACAAGATGAAGTTTATGAAAAGGAATTTCCATGTCCAAGAAAGGAACTATGAGCACTAAAAGGTTCACAGTATAAAAACTGAAAAGGAAAAAAAATTCTATGTTAAAACAGATTTTATTAATTGTCGATTATTATTTTAAAATATGTAATATAGTCTCCTACCTTATCAACCTGTATCAAGTCACTGAATTCACACACTCATTCTGGGAAGCCAGTTGGCAGGCAAGTGTGGAAATTGCTGGCTCATAGCATGGTGAGAAAACCAACAGATAGATGGTAATTTTCTTCTGTTTTATTTTCCTCTTTCTCCTCTCCTTTTTCTTGCCTCTTGCCTTTCTCTCCATTTACCCACTTTCTTTTTTGGCTATTGAAGATTTATTGCCTTTCAGTACTTACAGATGATGTTTTCATAGGCTCTAATGAGGTCCCAGCAGTTTTTAACAATAACAGGACATTACTGTTTCTAAGATATATTATGTGTTTTCCCTCATCTTTCTCCCTTGAATGAAAAGCTTAGAAGTATGTTAACCCCCAATTCCCTTTCCTTTACTATGATAAATGGTCTAGTTACTTAATAGGGCTAAATACTTTGCTATGACTTTTATAATACTCATTTGAATAAAATCTTAAAAAGAAGAGCATTTGTGTGCTTTTAATGTACTTTCTGGTTGAGTACCTGAGCATGTGCAGAACACCTGTTTCTTAGGGGCCTTGGAAGTCCTCTCTAAAGCCATCTTTGCTAGTTATGCATCCTGGTGGTGATTTTCTGCGACAGTTCCTGATCTTCTTGGAGAGCTATAAGGATGATGATCCTGTACCCCCCTCCACCCCCACCCCATTGCGATTCTGGCTCCAACCCCGTCTGACCCCATGTGAGTCTGCGGTGGACTCACTCCCTCCGCCGAGCTGGCTGGGCAGGTCAGCTGGATTTCCAACAGCTGCCTCAGTGCGACGCTTGACCATGAAGATATTTTTTTAAGAGGAAACAACAGGACAATGAACAAGTGCTTCGACGTTGCCTAACTTAGCTTGGCCGCTCCTAACACTGGTTTTTCTGCGGTGACAGGGTTGGGAGCCAAGTCTAGAGGTATTTTTTCTCCTTAAAGGTCAGACAGATTACAAGTCAGCAACAAAGAAAGGAACCACGCTGCGTCCCATGATGTAACACACAGGGACTTCGACACAAGCAGGCATTTTCCTTTGAGGAGTCAAGCTTTTGGGAATGCCTTCGAGCCAGAAGGGGCTTTGCTGGGGGAAAGCTCCAGCAGGTCCTGGAGCAGTGGATTCTATTTTGGTTCTGGGCTAGCTTTGGGTCAGTGGCTTTCGCTCTGCCCTGAAATTAGCATGTTATAAACAGACGGTTTGGGTCCCGGATCCAGCTAAGAAGCCAGCTTCTGGGACATGCACTGAATCATTTGTTCCAGACACAGACAAGCCACTGCGCCCTGAGAAGCGGGCTGGCGGCAGAGTCCCCAGACAGCGTCCCAGATCTGCGGTGCCCCCTTCTTTCCAGGCTTTCCTTCTCCTGCAGCACGTCACTACTCAGGTTATGCAGGGCTGGATTGCTGCTAATAGGTTCTCCTTAGAGACCTTCTGGAGACAGCTTTTCAAGAGCCTCCCCTTTCTGGATTCCTGTGGGACAGAAACCACGGAGCTATTTAATACAGTCTGTGATAACCCGCATTTTCCATCCTCTGTTTTCTGGGCCATTGCCTTTGCTCTGCGCGCACGCACGTAATGACTGGAAATGAATTCCAGGCCAGAGCAGCCACCCGCTGGCCGTGCCGTCAGCCCCACGGGGCCTGGTACCGGTTCGGCCCGCCGGCGCCACCCTCCGCGCCCCTTGAGAGCCTGGCACCCCAGTGCTGCCCGAGACCCCACTCTTCGCGCCCGGAGGCCGGGGCGGTGCCGGGGACGCTGGTCATCGCTCCCGTGCCGGTTGCCTCGGTATTCACGGGTGTCCCTCCATTTCTCCCCCTCCAGACAAGCAGTCTGTCCCAAAAGAGGATCAAATGGAAAACTTTATAAATACTTCAAATGGTGGAAACAGGAAGTGGAATAAAAATGATGCAGCTATTCACAGAAAACATGCTGTCATTTTTCCTCCATAAATATATGCTATTCATTTTCAGAAGAAGCTATGCCTAAAGCTGAACACACACACACACACACACACACACACACACACACACACACACACAAAACTTCACAGTGTCTCCTGACTTTGGAGACTGTTAAGAGAAGGTCCCTGGTGGCTGGTGGATGTCCTCGGGGTGGGCAGGGCACGGCTAACAGGCCGTGGAAACCTCAGAAAAAAATCAGGTATGGTGTGTAGTATGGAAATGCAAAGTGATGCCTTGTTGGGGTGTGCAGGTCCCGGTGGTCTGTGCCCTAACAGGTACTTCATCAGTATCAATCATATAATGGGAGCAATCCCAATTCCAGTGATCTAATCCCTAAGCCATACCCAATTTCTGTTAACCCTAGTCATATAATAATACAGTGTTTACTACATTCTAGGCAATATCCTAAGTACTTTACATGTTTTCTGTGTCTGCAAATCTCTTTCCTTTCTATCTTGATGGAAGGTAGTTGGCTTCTCTTATGTGCTTTGCTTTCAGTGTATTGTAATATGTTGTTTTGGTTGAAATGTATGAATAAAATTGGGCTCACATAGATAGGTTGTTGCAAAAGGAGTAATGTTTTAATAGCCTTTGGGGTAGTTATAAATATTCTTCCTGTGTCTTCATAAAAATTAAATGATAACTTTTAGAAGTTAGTTGTAATGTAGAATCTGAAACTATTTCCAGTGAACTTTTGGTATCATCTTACATTGGAGTATACTGGTATATTTTGTACTTTTGGTTGGATATTTTACCCATGATTGATTTCTATTTACTTATTTGTTTATTATGCTATCATGCTTCCCTGGTTTTCCTTCCCCCTTACTGATTGTTCATTTGAAGACTTTGCTGGCTGCTATTCTGTCCTCTAATGGTGCAGTATACCAGGGTCTTGATCCTGGGTCCTCCATGTCTCTAGATTTTCTTTCTATGTAGGTGATTTCATCCAGTTTTATGGTTTTAGATGCCACCTGTAGGCCAATTATTTGTCTATCTATCTATCTATCATCTATCTATCTATCTATCTATCTATCTATCTATCTAACATCTACCTACCATCCATCATTTCTGCCATTCCAATAAGCTCCAACTCTGTAGGGGACAGCTCCACTTGGGAACCATATAGGTGTCTACAGCTAAATGTGACCACAGCAGAATTCTTGATTTTGTTCCCCCAACCCATTCCTCCTCCATCTCAGTTAAATGACACCACCATCTTAGCCCAAAGTTAATATCATGTTTTGTTACTGGAGTATTTCAAATTCCTGGGAGAGAATTCCTGGTCCAACCAAAGGGCCAGGAATCTCCTCATGGCCAAAGGGCTGCAGTTACATAGAATTTCCACGGATATTTGGGAGAGGATAAGTGGTCAACAAAAAAAACTATCAATTATTTTCTTTAAGATTTTATTTTTAAGTAATCTCAACACCCATCATGGATGTCGAACTCACAACCCCAAGATCAAGAGTCACACACTCCAGTGACTGAGCCAGCCAGGTACTCCAAGACTGTATTTTTTTGCATGTATTTTCTTTTTTCAGGCTAAAAGAGTAGAAACAGAAGAAAGACAGAGGTAGAAGTTACAATAGATGGACATTCCAGAGGAGAAGGGTGGAGATAGACTAAGCGGATGGGAGGGTATTATCGTAAAAGAAAGTGAAAACATCTCTTCTGAAACATTGACTGTAAAGGGCAGTCAATGCCCTTGACTGCCCTTTACGGCAGGGCATCTGTTTTCTCTGTCAACTCAGAAGCAAATATCTACTAAGGGCATCTTAGTAGGGAGGGAGGGCATCTGTTTTCTCTGTCAACTCAGAAGCAAATATCTACTAAGAAGTGCAAAGGAGTTGTCATTTTGAAGACTGTAGGCAGGGCTAGGAGAAGGGAAGGGAAGGGGGACTGACCCGAGATGAGTGAGAGCATTTCTGGGCAAGACTGTGGTTCCAGGTGAGATTGAAAAACATGAATTTGCAGTGGAACCAGTCAAATACTTCTTTAGCAGTATTTGGAGAAAGTTTTTGAGGAATTGAGGAAGAGGAATGGTGAAAAGAGATTATCAGGATAATCCAGGGTTGGAATTAGCAAAGGCCAATGAAGCAGAAGGTCAGTGTGGTAAGAGGTTGGCTTCAGGAGAGAGGGAAGGAGGGACTGAAGTCCTGCTCAGGTGAAGTGAGGTTGTGTTCACAGAGAGGAAAATTCTATGCTTTAGCATCTTCAAGGTAGAGTCATTTTGAATGTTAGTGGAGTCTAGTTTAATGAGAAGTGGTTGAGTTAGTATAAGGTTAATGTTAATAACAATTTCCTAAAAGAAATAGGTCTTGAGTTGTACCTTTACACCAGAGACCTTTCCATCCTTGGAAAGGGGAGGGAGGGAGGCACTGGGGAGGTCTGCCCGGCCCTGTCAGAGGCCTCTGCAAGGAGACAGGGTTCCCAAGGACTCACCTCTGTCTGCTTAAGTCTGAGTTTCTTTGGGTTCATCTGTCTCATCTATTAGGAAATTGAAGGCTGATAATTTGAAGAAAAGTTCAAAAGTTAAAACATTTGAAAACCACTTAAAGGTTTAGAGCATGGTTGTCATGGATATGTGCGGATATAAATTACCTGGAGAGCTGCTTAAAAGTGCAGATTCCTCATTCTCACTGCTGGAGTGTCTGATTTCCTGGTTCTGGTGAGCCTCAGAAATCTGTATATACATACATATATTTAAAGACTTCACATTTTTTAAGATCAGTTTTAGGTTCATAGCAAAATTGAAAGGAAGCTACAGAGATTTCCCATATGCCCCTGTTCCCACACATGTCAGCTTACTGCATTATCAATATCCATCACCACAGTGGTACCTTTGGTTACAACTGATGACCCTATATTGTCACATCACAATCACCCAGAGTTCACAGTTAACATTAGGGTTCATTCTTGGTGTTGTACCTGCTATACATTTGGACAAATGTGTAATGGCATGTAGCCACCATTATTGTATCATACAGAGTAGTTTTGCTGCTTTAAAAATCCTGTGTTCCAGTTTTTCATCCTTCCCTTGGTCATCCCTTGGCAACCACTGATCTTTTTACAATCTCTTCAGTTTTACTTTTGCCAGAAGGTCCTATAGATGGAAAATACAGCATGTTGCCTTTTCAGAGTGGCTTTCACTTAGTAATATGCACTTAAGTTCCTCCATCTCTTTTTGTGACTTGATAACTCATTTGATTTTAGCATTGAAAATATTCCATTGTCTGGATCGACTACAGCTTATTTATCCATTCACCTACTGAAGGACATCTTGGTCGCTTCCGAGTTTTGGCACTTACGAATAAAGCTGCTATAAACTTCCATGTGCAGGTATTTGTGTGGATATAGTTTCATCTCCTTTGGGTAAATACCAAGAAGCATGACTGCTGAATGTCATAGTCAGAGTATGAAGTAAGTGAAGTAGAATTAAGTTTCTTGAGAGTTGGACATAATTGAGATTATGTTTTAAGGAAGCATGAGCAAGCCAGAAAGAACCAAAGGAGTTGGGGATATGTGCATATTCACTACTAAATTTAAACTGAATAAACATAAAGGGTCTCACTTGAGTGTGAAGCCCATGAAGAGGCTGGATCAATAGATTGAATGTACCGGTGAGATGAAAGCATTATTGCTGCTTGGAGTTAGAGGAATTGAGCAAGAAAGAGAAGATGGTGGTTAGAGATCAAAGTTCTTAATGCTATTAGAAAGGGTGTTTTCTTTAAGAATAGGCAAATTCTTCAGAAAAAGAGACATTTGGCGTATCTAACTGGAGATAATAAAAAAGAAAGAGGGGCACTGTCAAGTCAAACATGAAATTATTTATTGATCATTTACTTTATATGCTGTTGTGTGTTTGCCTTTGGGAAACTTCTAATTTAGTAAGATGTACATTTTCTAAAATTTCTAGTCAAGAACTAAACCATAGTGTATTGACCATTAGAATTTCCAGTGTATAGAGAAGGGAGGATGGCATTGGCAAAAGGAATGTATAAGTGGTGATTCTTCTGTGAGTTATGTTTCTTTGGGGTTAGTTCTCATGGCTTTTGTGGCCACCTCCTTCCCCTTCGCTCCATCTGGTATGTTCATATTTTGTGTGTGTGTGACTCTTGAACAACATGGGGCTTTGGGGTGCTGAACCCCTGCACAGTTGAAAATCCATGTATGACTTTTGACTTCCCAAAAGCTTAACTACTAATAGCCTACTGTTGACCAGAAGTCTTACTGATAAACAGTCGATTAACACATATTTTGTATGTTATATATATTATATTCTGTACTCTTACAATAAAGTAAGCTAGAGAAAAGAAAATACTAAGAAAATTATAAGGAAAATACATTTATAGTACTGTATGTGTATTTATTGAAAAAAAAATCCATGTATAAGAGGTCCCATGAAGTTCAAACCCAGTTGTTCAAGGATCAACTGTATATTCAAACTGCAGAATACGGGACTTGTGATCCTGGCACTTTCGAGTAAATTTGCCAAGACAACAAAATATCTAATTTAAAATTCAGCAGTGTCCTGGATATTTCATGACACGTGGCCAGTGTTTAATAAAGAAATAAATCCCTGTGGCAACATTCATTTCTATTCTGTTCCCTAGTGACATCCAATATAAATGGTTTCCCCGGAGTTGTAAACACAGTGGCCCTGTGGCTCCTCAGAAGTACTGACCAGCATTTCTGAACTGTCCAGGGGCAGGCATCACAGGGAGCTAGCATCCCCAACACAGGCGAGCAGACTGCTTATTCCCCTTGTCTGTCCCAGTATCACCAGTTCTGCATAGCCTTGTGCCACAGGTGAAAACAACGTCATTGTTTCCCATAAAGTTTTTATTTTTAGGCTCTTTTCTACTCAAGCCCTCATATATTATAAATGTGTGAGACCACAGAGCAAATGAATATATCATTGTGTTTAACCCGATGACTGAATGAATGGAATTGAGTGTTGAGAGGAGACTCTCATTTGCTACCTCTGGGGCAGACCCAGCCAGAAAAGGCCTATCCTCTCTTTGTGTTCATTCCTTTTTCAACTTTTCCTGCATTTCTTATCAGTGCCTTCTAGCCACAGAAGATTAATGACCTTGAACTCACCCTCAGCATCACCTTCTGCCTATATTATGTATTTAATCATTTTGTATTGATAGTCGAAGCTGGATAGGCAGGAGGTCATTTTTCCCCCTCTTGGAAAGATTTCCAAGGGGATGGAAGGAGACCTAGAAAAACACCAATAAATTCTATTGACTTCATGTTTGCACTTGAGTCATGCCTTAGGGCAGTGGGTTGGGCAGGGGGCCCGGAGGAGGGAGTGAGATGCAATGAAGACAAAGGCTTGAGTCCAAACCAGCAGTCATATTATCTTGCAGTTCCTTTCATCTTTTCTTTAAGGTAAGACTTCACTTCTTTTCATACAAACTCAGGCCAAGCTTGTGGTCAGACTCTGCCCATCAAAGAGAGTAGGAAGAGAAGGAGGGGATAGGCAGTCTCCTGGCATTGTCCGGGTATGGTTCTCATGTGAGAAAAGTCCATTTCTTATGGCTCGTTGGCTTTCCCATGGTATTTACTTCTTCTAACCAGTAAAAACTGAAGCAGATACTTGCAAAAAACTCCACCAATTTGGTTCCTTGATTGGTGAGGTTCTTCTCTTGTCATGTTATTCCTGGGGCATTTGTTGAGGCACCCGCTGAGACCCTGTTCCTGCCTGAACGTATTTCTTGTGCAAAAACGGTTACATTGACCTAGAGCTCCTTCCAACCTAGAGTTAGAATATGTGTCTCATTCCTTCCCTTGGCAAAACAGCAGATCTTCCTGAGTCCTCCTGAAACCAGTTTTTCATACAGTGTCTTAATTATTTCAAAGGCTATTTATTTATTTCTTGAAATTATATAGTTTTTAAAAAATTGAGGTAGTGTTATGAGCTCTTTAAGGAGAGGGGCTTCTGTCTTCTGCTAATTGAACTTTTGGCCAGTTCTTTAGATTTTGATACACTTCTTTGGAAATTCATCTAAGAATATCTGGTGATAATACCACAAAGACAACAGTAAATGGCATTAAATTTAACTTCTTACAAGAGATTTGTTGAAAAATTGTTTATGATTTCAAGAGCATTTTGTACTTATTTGGTGTCTACTCTATTGGTCTATCACATAGGATGAAGCGATAGGTGCTGAGAAAAAAAGATCAAAGGACAGACCCAGGATTTCCACTTCTGGGCAAATGCCTCAAAAAATGAATACTATGTCCACAAAGACATGTGCCAGAATGCCCATAGCAGCATTGTTCTTTTTTTTAATTAAGAGAGGTAGAGAGGGGAGGGAGGGGCAGAGAGTGAGAGAGAATCTTAAGCAGGCTCCAAGCCCAGTGCAGAGCCTGACCTAGGGATCGATCTCACAACCCTGAGATCACTACCTGAGCCCAAATCAAGAGTCAGATGCTTAACCTTAACTGACTGAGCTACCCAGGACCCCCAGCAGCATTGTTCTTAACACCCACAACCTGGAAACGATTCAAATGTCCCATAACAGAAGAGTAAATACATACATTGTGGTATATCTATTCAATATACAGCACTGTAAAGGAGCAGATTATAGTTGTATGTAACAAGCTGGGTGAGCAAACATGCTGAGCAAAAGTAGACATCTCGCAAGACCACATACTCCATAGTTCCATTCATATTAAGTTCAAAATAGGCAAAAGTAATCTATGGTGACAGAGGTCAGAATGGTGCTTAATTTGGGGGTATTGACTGGGACAGGCCACGGGGTAGGCGTCTGGGGTAGCAGAAATGTGTACAGTGGGATCTGGCTGGGCATACACAGTATGTACACATTGTAAAAATTGGTGGTTGAGTTGTATGCTTAAGATGCTTACATTTTGATATATATAAATTATGCTTAACTAAATATCTTAAAAGAAAATGATGACTAATACAAAATCCCTGGCCTCAAGGAGCGAATAGTCTAGTGAGAGAGGAAAGTATAAAAAGGAGTTATTTTTTTGCTTGTGCTGAGTGCTACCATGGAAGTGTGCAGGAAGAGGAGAAAAAGATGGGTAGAGGCATGGGGAAGGAGAGAGGATAGAGACACAAACTGGTTCTCTTGGACAAAGGCAGAGGGACATTTCAGGAGAGGGACAGCACAAGCACGTCTAGAGGAGACCACCCCCAAGATCACCAAATCCAGCATGGATTTCTCAGCTTTCCTATTTTTTGGCCTTTCTATGGCATTTGGTTTTGCCAGTTGTTTTCATTTTTAGGAATATTTTCTTGCTTAGCTTTGGTGACAATGTTTCCTACTGATTTCCTTTCTCCTTCTAGGCCATTCTTTTTCTTTTCCTTCCTGGTTCCTTCTCCCTAGTTTTGCCTTTTAAATGCTATCATCCTGCAAGAAACATGGTCATGTTTCTCTTCTCATACCTGTCTCTGAGCACTCTCATTAATCTGAGCTCATGGTTTTAGCTACCTCCCCACCCATGGTGTTGACTCCAAACTTGGTGTCTCCAACCTACATTTCCATCCTTGCCTCAAGAATCATATATGAATGTCAATTGGACACTACCACTCAGCTGTCCTGATAGTTCAAAATTTAATTTCCTAAAACTGAGCTCTTCATTTCCCTCTCCTCCCCAGCCTGCATCTCCTATTATTTTCCCTCATCTAGCAAATGGCCCTTGAATGCAGTCTTGTCTTTTCTCCCAGGCTCAGTTAGATTATCTTTGTCTATG